GCAGAAGCACGCTTTCCACACTCACATTTTCACTTTGTTATTGTCAGTTATTGTCATAAAAAATGACATTTTTCATCAACCTTGATGAAACAGTGACTAAAATACCTCTTTGTAAAAGATCATTTAAGGATGCATAACACATTATAAACTGTTTTCTACTCTCGCCCCGGTTTTAATGAAACGAGACTGAAAGCACTTAATTGATAGTAATGGACTGCATAAAATGACTACTTTTAATCTCTTTCCACTGAATTTATCCTGGTGGAACTTTACTGGATTAGTGATTTACACCAGTGTAAATTAGAGTGGAATCAGTCCTGAAATGTTACGTAAGAGCCATATTCAGGTGGCAGAAACTGAACCCCAGTTTTGCTTCAATATGTGAAATTAACTGGATTAAATATTGTGAGTCTGACCCTATTCCAACTGTAGTTAATGGGGGTCTTTCCGTTGCCTTTTGTGGGAGTTGTATTTGTCCCCACAGTGAATTAAATTAAATTTCACAAGGATGTTGTGAAACATATTTCATGATGCTAGTAGGTAGCAGGGGCTATAGTATATTATTATAGTTTTTACATTAAATGCCCAATTCTGCAGTGTTTGGAGGTTAATTAAATATTTCAGTCTATGAGAACCAGAAAATCCAGGGACAGTGTTGCTACTAGGTCTACTTCAACCTGTTGAAGTTTTAAAGGCAGCAGTGTAAACAACCTATTACATCGAGAATAAAGGGAGGGATCATTTACAATTATTGGTTGACATTTCACAGTCATACATAAGTGCAAACGTCTTTAAAGACGTCTAAAAATGGGTGAGAAGGAAGAGAGGGGGCCAAGTGATATAACATAAGCACATGAGCCCTCCGGCCCCCTGGGAAATGTTTGCCTCCTCTGATGATGCTTCCCCTCTCTAGGATTGCATCATTCATTCAGATTCCTGTTCTAAAACAGGCACCGTGCTCTCACCGCACCTTGTAGGGGAATGCAGTGGTGCCACTGACGGAAATAAAAGCCTCAACTCATCTCTTACTTTCTGCACTAGAAAAACATACTGGTGAGCAAGATGAATCTGAGCTTTCTGAATGCCCACCCCTTCCAAAAAGACAAAAACCAGTCCTGGTGACTTACAGTATTGTACTCCCCGTGGTGGTTGTTTCTCCTGCTGCAAAACTCCTGGGTGTACTGGGAAAGAAAAAATCAGCTGAAACCTTCAGTCACATCAATAGAAAAGCACTGAGTGGACTGAAAGATATCTGCATTTTGTAAATAGCTCTTTATAATCTGCTGAGCAAGCTCGACTGATATTTTTTTAATAGTTGCATACATGAAACTAGAGAAGTTCAGCTAACAGGCTTAGGAAAGAGAGATGTAGCCCTGCCTTCTTAAGGGGAGGAGTTCCCATCTAGAGGCTCCCTGGTTGGCTAGGGATAAACCGGCAGAGAGAAGGAGGTGGAGAGTTTGCTAATTTAGAAGACACACTATGCCACAGACATAAGAACCAAGAGGGGGGTCTGGAGCCCCTGCAAAACGAATGAAAAGAACTTGGCACAGTCTCGCAGAGGGGAGGGCCCAGGGGGAGCCAAGAGCCAAGGACAGGTTGCTAAGTGCAACGCTCAAGAATTATTTTTCCGAACAACGCAAAGGCAAGAGATAGTGTTGTTAACAGTGTTTAGCTTAACTAAACTAAGGGAAACTTACACAACACTTCCCAGAGACGAGCCTATGAACTCCATTTCATCAACCTCCTGGATACTAGAGATCATGGACTGAATATAGACATTGGATTTTGGACACACTATAATTTGCCTGGCAACTGACTCCCTAGCCCAGCCGCTGCCTTCCTTACTTTTCATTCCATCCAGGAAGAGCACACACCAACTGCTGAAACTTCCTTAGCCTGACGAAGGGTTTTTGAACCCGAAAGCTTGCTTAATAACTATTCTCCAACTATTTGGGTTGGTCTAATAAAAGATATCAAATTCACCCAAGGAACCTTGTTAGCTTAACTAAATGCTTTTGAAATTATTTGTAACAAAAGTTAACCAAGACATTTATGTTAGCCTGGCCAATTCAAGAGTTGAAACTAATTTTCTTTAAACAAGGGTTTGGTAAACCAGTATAATTTATCTAATACATTTAATTTAATTAAATCTAATAATCTATCTAATGCTTTAACATGGAGACATAAAAAATATTTTTGAGATATCAGTGAATTAAGGGCAAATTCCCAGCAGATGTAAATGGATGTAGTTACACTGAAATCTAGCTCATTGTGTCAGACCTTCTGCAAGAGAAAATTCCTCATGCTTTTTTTCTTGACTGGTAAATTTAGATCTGTAGGATCTAGACCTATGAAAAAGGGATACCTTTTAAGTAAAAGAAAGCAGAGTTGAGAGATGAAGAACTATAGTCAATGTACTTCTCGCATACCTAGAATCACAGGAAGTAGGCTGTCCTAAGAAAGCGCATGCCTCGCTGAACCAGTGACCATATTTCACGGTGTGTAGGTCAACCCAGGTTTTCTGACATGAAAAGTTAGAATTTTCATAGATAGACTGTATAAGTCAACCCACATTTTATTCAGAAACAAGACCAAACAGTCGCCAGCATGATTAGCACAATCAGCACTGATCTCATCACCACGGGTTACACACAATTAGCAATCAGCACAAATCAGGAGCGATCAATCAAATTATCGCCATTATTAGCACCATCAGCAGCACTGGTTGCCACAGCTTGCACTCAATCAACATTTAAAAATCCCCCTTTAAATAATCCCTCTTAATAAAAACATTTAAAAATCCCTCGTTTCAACAATGTAAACATTTTAAGAATACTAAAAATTAACAACGTAAAAATCCCTCATTCGCTTTCATCATCAGAACTGTCAGCCCCAAACAATTCCTCCCAATCTAAATGGTTAGTAATCTGATCATTTTATGGATCTTCGGCATCGGATGCTTTGGTATCTTTATCCTTTGTTTGATCTTCATCACGCCAGAATATCATCCTCCTCACCATCCACAGAATTACTGATCCTGCATTTTTTGATTGAATGTGAAATGGTTTGAGGTTTAATGTTCCTCCAAGCTGTAAGAATCCATTGTCACACAGTTGCTAAGGAGGCCGCTTGTATGTTTCCAGTTTTTGTAAACGAATGTTGGCTAACCGTCAACCAGCCCGCCACTCTTTTCTCATGGCCCATAGTCTTCATCAGTACAGTTTTAGTTCCAGTGACATCCATAGTTCGGCTTGTTGGCATATCAAAGCACATGGGTGTTTTGTCCATATTCTCGATTTGCCTGAGATCGTAATTGTTTTTCTTTTGGAGGTTCAACACATAGCTCTGGAACTGGGTTATCTTGTCTTCGAGGTTGGCTGGTAATCTCTACAATATCTTCGTTATGTGGTGCAAAGAAAAAGAGAATTCCTTTTCATAAACTGGGAACACCAGGTTGGGTTGCCAGTAAAGTCTTTCAATCTTTTCTCCATAGCCCGCATCTTGTCTTGCAGTAGGATGATGTTTCTTATTATGATTCTGCCAGACTGTTGCTGATCGTTGACCCATTTGGCAAGGTCTCTTTCTAAATCGGGCTACCTGCATTGCTTTTCATGGCCCCAGCATCTTCTTTATGTTGTTGATGATTTTTTGCCAGCCACAAACCACTTGTTCATTTGCACCAAGCTGATGGGCTGCAGAACTGTTGTTAGTATCGAGAGCAAAGTTGACGACTTGCATCTTGAACTTTGCATTGTACTTCATTCGTTCTGGTGGCATCCTGAATACCATGTGGTATTTGCAGTACCCAGTGCCACAGCAACGAAGCTTGGTGCCCTGGGCAAAGCCTGCAGCAGCAGACTGCCCTTGCCCCAAGCACAGATCTGGGGGGCACCCCCCCCCATGCTTGCTCAGGAGTGCACGCAGCAGCGGGAGCTGTCCTTTCCCAATCCCTGCACCCCGCCAAATGAGCCGCTCACAGCTCCATCCTGCACCCTGCCCCAGCTGGGCAGTTCCTGTTAGCACCTCTTCACTTCAGCACCCAGGGCAGATGCCCCACTCGCCCCCCACTCCCACCCCCTGCTTGCTATAGCACTGGCAGTACCTGTAATTAAGGTCATTTGGTCTTTGCTAAAATAGTGCCAGTTTAATTAGTGCGACCATGCCTCCTGTAATTAGTGAGACCGCTCCTCCTGCAATTAGTGCAGTTAATGTGATCATGCCTCATGCATTCACTGAACTTGCAGTTTGTCGGCAATGATTTTATGTGACACAGTGTATAAGTCAAGGTTGCATTTTCAGAGGCCAAAACTGGGCTTCAAAACCCAACTTATACATTGTGAAATATGGTACTCTCTAAGGTGCCACCCTACATCATCTAATATCTCACACATCTCAAGTTAAGTATGTGCCTAAGTGTTTTTTGGACAAAAGCAGTTTCATGGCCAATACACCAGTATTAATCTTGGGTGAACCTGTTTCAATCAGTGCAGTCATTCCAGATTTATTATAAATTAAAACAGAACCTACACATGGACTTTCATATTGATATCCCTGTAGGTTTTCTCCCAGGGTCTGAAAGAATAGTAATTTAAAGGTTAGAGAATGGGTTCTTTGTGTGAAAGACCTGGGCTGTTAATATACCTGTGTTGGAACTAAAATTTCCATTTCATAGGAAATTCCACAAATTCAACATATCTTTTATTCTGAATTAATTTATAATTTGACTGTGAAAAAAGATTATTAAAAATTGCCATCTTGGCTCAATCAAAACATAGCATTTAGGTAAAACTGAAACATTTGATTGATTTTTATACATTATACTTTCTTTTTAGATTATTTGGTAATGCATAACAACAACAATATATTTCAAAACAAAACATCATTTTTAAATTAATAATTGGGACAGTTCATTCTGATTATGCAGAATATGGTTTGTATTGTTTTCCAGAAATAAATGTCAAAACTAACTCAGTCCTCCAGAATATTTAGTTTCAACATACCAGTATTTTCCTGTAGAAAATCCTTCCATGAGCAGATTTTCAATCAGCTCCAGCTATTACCATTAGTTGGGGAGTTTCAGGCCACCAACCAGAGGCTCTAGTCTCTCATCTCAAGTTGGCTTCTTGGTTCAAAGCTAAGAACACTGTTTTTGCTGAAGAAGCTGCTTGGTAGTCTTGTGACTGGTAACCCTCTGGAATGAATGTCACGAGCCAATCAGTGTGGCAGTCACATTTTATGCATGGTTTTGTTTGCAATTCAGGCAGCTTTAGGCTTCAATATGTGTGAATTAATTAAACTCCCCATATGACATCCTTTCCCATTATTTCACATGTTAATAACAAATGATTAATCACAGGTCAATATGCACATCTATTTGTGCCTCTTTTGTCACACTATTCCTACAGCAGGGTCCTTTGCTATAGTCATATTGATGCAGTCTGGTGTCTATTTTGACCCTGTTTACTAATGTTATCAGTGTTAGAACACTTTTTTATAACAGGTTTTAGAAATACTTTGTGGACATGTGTTACCACAGTTTGCTACTGGGGAAATTGAGTTAAAGCAAGATAAAAGAAAACTATTTCCACTTAGAAACTCAGTGGGGATTTTGCTCGAATAAGGACTATGTGATTTCGATAAAAGGATTCAGACTTCATGAAGAAATATTCCCTTTGGTTTCAATAGATTTGTTTTGGTTTAACAATCTAGTTGTCATCTGATTAAACCCTATGGGGCAGATCCCCAACTGATGTAAATTGTCACTGGCTTATCCTAATCAATTATCTTCCCTTATTGTACAATAAATATAAATATGTAAAATAGTTCAGCACTTAAAATTAGAATGAACTATAAACTGAAGGTAGGTTTGTGTTGATCTCTAAAGAACTGATGCAAAACCAAAGTTATATTATTATAAAACCACAAATTAGTAATAAGAATTCCTGTACTCTAAAACAGTAATCTTCAATGTGTAATTTAGGGAAGAGGCACCAAGTTATTCATCTGGGATTTTCAAAGGAGTCTTGGGGTTAGCTATCTATATCCCACTGATGTATGATTGTCAATGAGAATTTGACCAGCAATATCTTTAGAAAACCTCACTTCTGAAAACCCAACTATTTGTGTGAGAAATGTAGATAACAACCTAAGATGAACACTTATAATTCACTGCTGAACAACAAGAAAGATTTCTACACCTCCTTGCCTTTCTGCCATCTGATACCACCAAGGAAGGAATCCTGCCTTATCTGCGCATAAAAGAGCAACTCGCAAAGACTCACATGAGCCCAGAGGAACAGACTTCCACCTTCAGCTTCCTCTGTAAAAAATTAAATGTATTGTCTACCTTTGGGGACTTTTTACCATCTTTCATTTTCCCTGAGCCTGAGGAAAGGTGTGTGTGCCTGGAAGATTGCAGAAAAAGATACTTTTTTTTTTTTTTTTTTGCAATTTCTTAGTTGGTCTAATAAAAGGTATCATCTCTGAACCAAGAGTTGTAGAGTTCTGCATTCAACGTGGCTATCAAATACGTCCCTAAGTTGAACACTGGTTATTTTCCCAAAGTTTTTTTTTTAAATAAAACATGTCAAAATCCATTTACTTCTTCCTCTCAAAAAGAATATATTATTTTCCTGTATAAATAAAAAGAGTCTCTGAAATACCTTAGGGTGTTTGAACAAATGAGCACCAGACTTGAGGAACAGTCAAACCAGAATGCCTTACAGCTTCCTCAGCTGTGACCTAGATGCACAGGCAGTAACCTTTCCTATTCCCTTTACTATATGCAGGCAATAAAACCCTTGCCAATTAATATCATATAAACAAGGCACAGGCCTGCAACTGGTGTCATATATTCCTGGGATAGCATGTGTGATTATGTGTGCCTTCATGTGCATATTGCCCTCTACTGGCTAGTTGCAGGACGGAAAGCTTATTACTCACAACTAATTAAGGATGCATGAGCTTGCAATATTGATGTTTATCAAGAAATCCATTTGAAAATGTCTGAGACCACCCAAGAGCTGCAGAACACCCAGATGGTGGGACTGAGCCCCCTCTGCTTGATACCACCTGGGTTGAGGCCACGTGCAAGGATGCACATCAAAATGTTTGGTTGTGATCATTTGGTGGTGGAATCTCATGTAGAACTCAGATGTGTGTGAAGGATTCAGGAGCTCTGAACCCTTCTCACAGGAGCTCTGTAGCTAGCCAAACAAAAGCATGAAGTAGATGAATAAAGTGAGAGTTCCAAATTAGAGTTCAGGAGCTACATTTTGAAATGCCAGGTACAATTTCCCGTATTTTACAATATTATTTAACAAATGCAATGACAAAAAGCCAACCTGTGGTGTTGCTTTTTTGGAGGGTGGGGTGGGGGACTCTGCAGTAGAATAACTTACAATAGGCATCTCTTGATCAGTAGAGCCACAGGACTCCCCACTTGCTGGACACAATAACTCTATCTAAAATATTTAACCTCAATAACACATGCAAAACAAGCTATCACTTGCCCTCTGTACATGGAGTCCCTTACCTATTTCCACCTTTTTCACAGCCAGTTTTCCCAAGAATCATTTGTCCTACAGAATCCCACCCATCTGAATACATAGTGCTTACCGTGAAAGTAGGTTCAGTAGGGGTCTAGTGTCACTAATCCCACCACATGACCCATCTCCCCACAGTGGAGCTCAGTCATGGATGGCTTTAACACAGGCTTTGTGTATAAAACAGTCAAAATCTGTCCTCTGCTTCCCACCACATTCTCATGAGGGGTGGGGGTAGAGAGTGGGGGAGGAAAATATCCTAAAGCAGCCTGGCACCTGGCACGGTATGCATTCCTTTGCGGTCCTAGCATGCTGGGGTAGAGTGGATGGGATAATAGAACTAGGACTCTGTGTCTTCCTGTCAACATGTACTGGGGAATTCTGAAGTTTGCAGCTGCTGCTCCCAGCAACACATATATTCACGGTTCATATAGACAGTAAAGAGGAGTATGGAACTGCTACAGAACTGCCTAAAATATGGTCTCTAAGTAAGCTCTTTGGGTGCATCTACACAAGATGCTTTACTGTGCAGTAGACTAATCTACTGTGCAGTAAAGCATTACTGTCTACACATGTGCAGCATTTACTGCACAGTAAATTAGTCTCATGTGTGGTAGTAGATTTAATGCACAGTAGATACTGAGCAGTACTGCATGTGTAGACAGCTGACCAGGAGCAAATTGCTTCCAGGCAGCCCAGGCAGCAGGAGGCAGGAGAACTGTCCCCTCCCTGAGGCAGGTGCCTGCTTCCCAGCCCCCAGTCTGATCTTGGAGCTGAGGCTGGGACATCATCCCCAAGCAGCTGCCCGGGGCAGGGGACAATGCCCCAGCCTCTGCTCTGGGGCCTGGCAGGAGGCAGCTGCTGGGCAGGAGATGATGTCCCAGCCTCTGCTTTGAGATTAGAGTGGGAGCCCAGCAGCAGGCAGCTGCCGGGGGCAAAGGATGATGTCCCAGCCCCCACTCTGAGATCAGAGCAGGGGTCCAGCAGGAGGCAGCTGCCATGGGGCAGGGGTGGAGGGCTGGAAGGCAGCTGCTCTAGAGGCAGGACAGCTCCACCCCCCCCCCAGGCCTGATCCCTGTGTCTCCTGCCAGTCTGGGGCAGGCACCCAGGGGAGCCTGGAGCAACCCCTGGCTGCTGTAGGGGAGCAGAGCAGGGCAGGAGTAGCCCTACACTGAACTGCTGCCTTTGGGAGCAAATTAATTCCCTACAGGTGCACATGTAGATGCACTCCCAGGGAAAGGTAAGCTTTCAACGCATTAATAGCATGTGTAGATGTGCCCACTGATGACACAGTACTTAAAGACGTCAGTAGATCCATGAGGCTGTTTGCTTCCTTCTGTGAAAAGTTCCATTCCAAATAATGCACTTAGTCTAACTTGTCTCACAGATTCATATATTAAAAAGTATGCAAGCACCTAGAAAAGTGCCTAGCACCTAACTCACAACATTGATTTCAATTAGTGTTGGGTTCTTAACTCCCTTAGGCTCAGGATGGTCTGTATGTGAGCACCCTAGGGAGCAGGGATAGACAAACTGGGGCACATGTGCTACAAGTAGCAAGGGCAACCTCTGTGTGTGGCACATAGCAGATCAGAGAGCGGACAGCAGCAGAGTGGGAGGCAGGACAAGGAGCAGAAAGCAGAGCAGCAGATTGGTCAGGAATCACAAGGCAGAGAGCAGAAAGCAGAGCAACACACTGGGCAGGGGAAAGGGATCAGAATGGCACTTGGGGAGGGCCTGGGGCTAATTTATGGCACACCTGCCAAAAATGGTTGGCCCCCATTGCCACAGAGCAGTGTTTTTCAATCTGTGGGTCCCGACCTGAAAGTGGGTTGCAAGAATATATGAAAGAGTCATGAACAAACTTTAAAAATGGACCAAACTCTGGGAGATGGAGAGAGGACTGCTCCTCAGCCTGGGAGCTCGGAGGTGCTCTGATAATCCCAGATGCTGACGCTGAGCTGGCAGCGGTGATAGCTGCAGGGAGAGCTGGTAGGAAGCCGCACCATAAGGACAAGATGGATGCGGAAGAGCTGTCAACACGTGGAACAAGGTCTTTGTTTTAGTTCCTACTTACTTTCATTTTGAATGGTAGGGAGCCTGTTAGGCTGAGTACTAGTCACCCTGGAGAAGGGGAAAAGCCAGCAACACCGTGGGACAGAGGGGCGCTGGTGGAGGGATCGGACTCCCTCCACCAGAACGGAACCGAATCAACAAGGGCTGGTAAGAGGGCTTGCCCCAATATGAAGAATTGACATGTCCAGTAGGAGCACTGGGGATTGACGCGGAGACATCTAAAGTTGATACAAGTGCCCAAGTTTGTAGGCAAAATTGACCGACGACTCTCCTGCATTTCTCTTTAGTTACATTTGTCCAACAGGGCTGGGCCTCGGAAAAATAGCGCACAGCCCTCAGGCTGTTGGTGGAGGCTGCAGCCAGTGGCCATAACTGAGAGACTTACCTGGGTTCCAGTTTCCGTGCTTTGTGTTATTCTTCATTTCTCTTTCATTTACCAAGCCTCGACAGAACTCCTTCGAGGCTGGCTTAGCCGCTGTATCCTCAAGTCACGCTCAAGATGACCGTGAGCCTAAAAAGATTGGGGAAAAAAAGAAGAATGCCCAATTGATGCTTTAACAACTGGGTGGCATTTGGACCGGGTGTAAGGGGAGGTAGGAGCCCCAAAGAAGAAGCGGACCCAGCCAGGCCCCGTGGCCCTATCCTGTGCCGCGGTGAAACGTCCCCGCCATGCCCCACATACACCCTACCCTACCCCACACACTGGCCGGGACTGGCCAGTGATGTTTACAAATGAGTCCTGCTACAAAAAAGGTTGAGAACCACTGCCATAGAGGACAAGTTGTGCTACCATTTCTGGAGCATTTATCACAATTACTGCAATATGTGGTGCTTTTCTTCAGCGGCATAACTATCCGGGGCAACTGGGACAGCTGCCCCAGGGACCAATTTCCAGAGGGGTGGGAGTGAAGAACAGAAAAAATGGCTGCCGCCAGAGTCACATGATGTCTCGGGAAGTTGTCACTGCCCCTGTGTGTGGCAGCTGCCCCAGGTGCCCGGCTACGTTGTTACACCTCTGCTTTTCTTACATCTGCAGCTCCTGAGGGCCTGTCCTGATGTGTATCTGTGCTCACAGCCCTCCATTTCCAGCCCTCCTCCTTACACAGCAACAGCAGGAAATGTGAATCCTAAAGGTTCAAAATGCAAAAGGCAGCAAAAACTCCAGCAGTGTATTAACTTTGAGGGATCTGTTGGCACCGGGCCTGCGACTTCATGGGCTGGGATGAGCTTGGCTCTGAGGTGGGCCCAGGTCCCGGGAGGAATTCACAGCCAGCAGCTGGTTGCGACCAGGAGCAAATCTTGCATTAACCTGGCCGCTTTACATTTTAATGGGGATGCATTCTTATCCTACCTGGGCCCACCTGGGTCAAATATGCGTTATGTGGATCTCATATGAGCTATCCCAGTTTAAATGTGAATTTCCTTTTTAACCAGGTTAATTTCAGTCAAATGCATTTTTTGCCCGCAGGGGTGTAGGTTGTAGCCATATTGGTCTATGGACATAAGTAGACAAGGTTCTTTGGGTAAATCTGGTATCTTTTATTATTATTTTGTGTGTATTATATTATATTTTACTATTTTATTATTAAAATAATAAATACTTTTATTATTACTAATTATTATTTTATTTTTTTGCTCGCAGTGAGGGAGGGACTAGAGTCGCTGAGCCCTCAACCTATTTGCATCACAATTCTTCTTATTATCTTGCCTCATTATGCTAATATATTATTAATTTAATTTTCATGTAGCTATGCACAGGAGTATAGCGGGATACTTGGCACATATTAAGGACGTTGGATTTGCATACAGACACCAACAGGCCAATAGGATGCTTTGTAGATATTAATAAAGTTTAATTTGCATGAGGCCAACCATGCACTAATAGGGCAACCGTGCATATTAATAAAGTTCAATTTGCATATATATGCCCACACGCGAGGAGCATGGCAATGAGGTTAATTTGCATATAGGTACCCATACGCCTGGAGCAGGATTGTACATTTTTTTTAATTAGGTTCATTTGCATATAGATACCAATATGCAGGATTGTACGTTTGTGTTTTTAATTGGGTTCATTTGCATATAGGTACCAATATGCAGGATTGTATGTTTGTTATTTTAATTAGGTTCATTTGCATATAGGTACCACTATGCAGGATTGTACATTTGTGTTTTTAATTGGGTTCATTTGCATATAGGTACTAATATGCAGGATTGTACACTTGTGTTTTTAATTAGGTTCATTTGCATATAGGTTCATTTGCATATATTTGTGTTTTTTTTTAATGAGAAACAGATCAAATAGACGTAAAAACAGAACCAAGCCTCGCACCCGCATGACCCCGCCACAAGGATCACGAAACTCAGAAGACGCTGAATATTCACCTCAGAAGACCTCCCCTGTGGTTCCCCTTGGAGGAAAGCAACGGGACCGCTCGCCCGTCTCCATGTCGACGTTTGCCAATCAAGTTAATGACCCTGTGTTCATAGGCCCGCGTTCATTTACATATTAATGAGGAGCGCCGGCGTGCCGATTTGCATATGCATGAGGTGCTTTGCATACCAACCGCTCCCACCGGCCTCCTCCCGGGGGGCGGGTCCCTTGGAGGGGAGCGACAGGGCGGCTGGCCAATAGGACGGCAGGCAGCGCCGCGCAGCCAATGGCGGGGCGGCGGAGTGTTCTAGAAGGGGCGTGTCCCGCGCGCCTTATCCCGCCGTCCCTTGCGCGCGGGGCTGGGCTCAGGCAGTGCGGCGGCTGCATCATGTCGGCGGTGAAGTCGTTGAACCCCAAGGCCGAGGGGGCGCGGGCGCAGGCGGCGCTGGCCGGGAAAATCAGCGGGGGGCGGGGGCTGCAGGACGTGCTCCGCACCAACCTGGGGCCCAAGGGCACCATGAAGATGTGAGCGCGGGGCCGGGCGGGGAGGTCGTGGTGGGAGGAGGGGCTGGGCCCGCGGGGTGACCGCCTCCCCTCCCCCCCGCAGGCTCGTGTCTGGCTCCGGAGACATCAAGCTCACCAAAGATGGCAACGTGCTGCTGCATGAGATGGTGAGTGCGCCTTGCCCCAATTTGTCTCCTCGTCCTGTACTCCTCGTCCATTTTGGTGCGTGGCCAAAACTTACCTCCTTCCAGCCTCCTCCCGGCATCCGCTCGCTGGAGAACAGGCCCCCGATTCCCCCCCCCCCCCAACTCCGAGGTCCCTCGCGGTGTCCCTCGCATCTGTAGCTTTACCGCCGCTCCCTCGCCTGCGGAAGTTAGCCAAAAACGAGCATCTTAGCAGAATCGTTCAGCGGTAATGTAATGTATCGAGACACTTCTAACATACCTCTGAGTGACTAGTGTTGCTTTTAAATAGACAAAAAATAACTATGAAGATGTATAGCGTGTCCCAGCAAGACAAAATACATCAATGTGAGTTTCCTACTAGTTAAACCTTGCTGCATTATTGTAGGAATATCGCTCAGCTGCTTCTTTTTGTTTAGCAAATCCAACACCCAACCGCCTCCTTAATAGCAAAAGTAGCAACGGCGCAAGATGACATCACTGGAGACGGGACCACTTCAAATGTCCTGATCATTGGAGAGCTGCTGAAGCAGGCAGATCTCTATATTTCCGAGGTATGGATGGGGTCTTGGTTTTTGTAAGGGAATGTGTAAATGTCATCCTTTCATGCTTTCGAGTTTTGACTTTGCTGTTAATATGTCTTGTACCTATTGTTTTTTTTTTTTCACTCTTTTGGTGGGCTTTAAAGCTTTTGCCATAATTGCATGCCACTAAATAGCGTTTTACTCAAGTAAAGAATCATCTTCATGTTAGAAAACTTGATACCGATGAATTCCT